GAGTTAATCATGCTAACAATAGGTCTTAAAGGTACACCTTGTTTGTGGATTTTAGGTAAACCATACAGACTAGGTGTGGCCTCCCCTGGGTACAGTCTGTGGTACAGAATATGGTCAATAGCCTTGTCCTGCTCCAATTTTTTCAGGCAATCTATTAACTTCTTCTTGTAACCACTTCCTGGATCTCTTTTCAGAGGTTCATATGTGTTTAAGTCACTAAGTAGTGTCATAACTTTCTCATGATAGTCTTTCTGGTTCAAAATCACTGTGCACCTTCCTTTGTCTGCTGGGAGAATGATGATGTTTTTGTCCTTGCTAAGAGTGGTGAGTTCATACCTCTCCTCTCTACTGATGTTGGAAGGTGGTGGTTTGGCATTGCTGAGGCAGGATAAAACTTTGATTCTGAGCTGTTCTGCTTCACCCTCTTTCATTTTGTTATTGCGGATGACTGATTCTGTGGCTGTGATCATCTCCACCAGAGGAATTCTACTTGGTGCAACCGCAAAGTTCAGTCCCCTGGCAAGAATCTCTGTCTCTGGCTGGGTGAGCTTTCTGTCAGATAAATTCTTCACTCACTTTTCTGTCTCCCTAGCATGTAATTGTCTACTGGAGTGTTGTCCTACACTGAATGTGTTGTTAAACAGAGGTGGGGGCCTCTGTGTTCAGCTGTCCCCCTCTTACAATGCTGTGATTGCTAGTATCACTCAGCCTCCTGTGAATAGTAAAAAGCCATCAGTGTGCTAATGATCCATTGTTAGGCTGATGGTTCTTCTTGACCATGTGAGCAGCTGGTTTTGGTTGTCAGCAGCAAACTGGTTGATCCACTCTGAGAAGGTGCTATTTATAAGACTGAGCTGAATACAGCACCTCAGACTGAGGAAGTCTTTCGGATGGAAGACGAAAGGTTTCTACAATTTTTTTTTTGTTTGTTTTGCTTTGTTTTGTTTTTTGAATGTCCAGAGGACCAGATTTAACTTTTTTAGATTTTTTTAACCTGGGTTATTGAACATGCATCAGGATGTCAACAATGTTGTACCACAAGGCTCAGTCTTAGGACCCACCCTCTTCAGAATCTATTTATGTAATGTAGGTCAGATAATTCCTGATGCATCCTTACATTTCTACGCCGATGACACAGTTGTTTATTGTCGAGCTAAAACAGTTGCTAAGGTTTTCCAGCTTTTACAGTCTGCATTTGACATCATCAAGTCAATTTTGTTCCATCTCAAACTGGTGCTAAGTGCTGACAAAACCAAAGGGATGTTGTTTTCAAAAGGAAAGTTGGTGCCAATAGTCCTTCCTTCTATATTCTCTATGAATGGTGTTCCTATTGAGTTTGTTGATTCTTACAAATACTTGGGAATCTTGGTTGATGCACATCTCTCTTAGCCATCATGTCATGTTGAAAACTTTGTAAAGAAATTGAAAGTAAAACTGGGTTTCTTTTTCAAAATCTTGTCAACTCTGAATGATAGGAAACATCTTGTAACTGCTACTTTCCTTCCCTCCATTGACAACGGTGACATTATTATATGAACGCTCCCACAAGCACCCTGCAGGTGTTGGATGCTGTCTATCACGGTGCACTAAAATTCATAACTGACTCTAACTACCATACCCATCACTGCACCCTGTATTCATTGGTTAACTGGTCATCATTAACTCCATGCAGACTCTCACACTGGTACATTTTCATCTTTAAATCACATCTTGGTCTGTTGCCTTTTTATATCTCCTCCTACATGTCACTTTGTCAGTGCAGCTACAGCGTGCACTCTCAAGACATCATTACCTGCAGCGTCCCGTCAGTGCGGAGCAAATTTGGCAAAAGGGCCTTCTCTTACTCTGCTCCTGTAACCTGGAACACCTTGCAAAGACTTGAAGTTGTCAACTTTGATCTCTCTAAGGGATTTTTAACAATTGCTAGGTTCAATGCAAAAATCAATAACAGACTTGTCCCTGTTTTAGTATTTTGCTCAGGATGGGAGATTGAGATGAAGCGAAGATTCAACATGTCTGCTGGCTTCCTTAGATAGAGCACTTTACTAACTGGCTTTTCTATGTATGTGCACGTTCCTGTAAAGTGTCCGGAGACAACTTTGTTGTGAATTGGTGCTATATAAATAAACTGAACTGAATTGAAAATGTTACCCAATTTCATAATGTAGCTTGTTTTATATCACTACTTTTATTTACTTTTCATTTTATATGCTTTTATATGACTGTTTATTGTTGTGTGTACCTCATCTGTGGATTTTGTTTAAAACAGGTCTCTTGTCAATGAGACCTCGTGACTTAATGAGCCTAACCTGTATAAATAAAGGTTCAATGAATGAATGAAAAGGTCATCGGTTCCGCGGGACAGTGAAAATTGTCTGTCAGTTGTCTCAATACTGTACCATTTTTAATATTTAAGTTTAAGTTGACATTTCACTAATATTTTAGGAGACAGAGCCTCCACTGAAATAACTTTCATCTCACACATCACTAATTTAAGATCAGAGCGTAGATGGTTGTTTTGTAAATGACAACATCAGGTCTGAGAATAACCGTTTTGTCTGATCAGCTTTCAAACATCCAGCTCAGACTTGTCAGTGTATAATCTCTTTGTGTTCTAAAAACATCAGTATGGCAATATTGATGTTTCAGTTTTCCAAAGAGCAGTAATGTCTCATATGTATGATTTATGTGTCGCGGCAACTCAAAGTAACAATCGAACATCAGAGAAATGAACTTCTCTACTCCAGGTTCAACATTTTAATCATGAATTATTTATAAAGAATCTGACAGACTGATGCGTTTAGCTCTACTAGTGAAGAAAGTACTTATACTAGCCATTACTTTCTGTGCTTAGCTCTGCTTTAAAATCATACTTGCGCATGAGCATCCATGCACAGTATTTGAACCGACCACAACATGGCCGACTTCGCAGTTGAATATTATCAGTCTTGATTGTTTAAATTTTTCTTTAAGCATAATGCAAATTAAAAGATGCATTTTTTAGTTTTATTGAGGTAGTGTTCAATTTATTGCACAACAATTTAAAGAAACACATTTGTGCCTTTATTTTTTTCAGCAAAAATGCCTTTGTTCAATAAAAAAAATATCATAACTAAAAGAAGGAAGAATGAAAGTAAGTTTTGTATCTGACACTTTTAAGCAACAAACTGAGACTCTGTGCTGTGAGAACAGCAGCCAATTAGCTGAAGTGCATAAACCTGCCCTAATTACTGAAACAGATTCTCTCCAAGCTGCTCCTGATGACCATGAACGTGAGATCTGATTGGTTGATTTGGTTGATTCAACATTTAAAAGGGCTGTCATGACTGCAGTAAGAATGAAGCTGAAAGTAGTGTTCTTCCTGTTGTTAGTTAGCTGCAAACAGCAGGTGTTTTACAGGCTGTTTGGGTTCAGTTTCCAAAAAAACTGATGGCTTCTGGATTTTGTTTGAGGTAAGATTACTGTTCTTCATTTTATTCTTGTTTCATCATTGAATGTATTTAACCCATCCATGTCTTGTTACCCCCAGGGTGCTGCTGCTCCCTCTGATAATCTATGGGCAGCTTGCTTTCGGTAACTACCCATTCTTTGAACAATTGTGTTTTTTTTTTTTTGTTTGTTTTTTTTTTTTTAACATGTGAAAGCTGACTACGATGTCTCTCTTCCAGGAAACGTTTACAGATATGGAAGTCAAATCAGACCTCACCCTGAGCAGACCAGAGCTTCATTATGGACCTATGACCCTGTTCCTTCCACTTATGATGGCTCTGTGCACCAAAGAGCTTTACAGAATTCAAGGTTCCCTGACAGTTTTAAACCTTTTGAGACTATCACTCGCCAAAGACCAAGTCATCATTTTAGTGGGCAAGTAGATGGTTACAGTCCTAGTGGAAGTGTTTCTAGTTACAAGCCTGCCTCATTTCAGTTGAGTCCCAGGCTAATGCCACAAGGCAGCTCCTACCAGAACGAGCCTAGGATGTGGGAGACCAAGTCTCAAAGTGAAAAGAGGTCTAACATTGTTTCAAGTGGTGCAATTGTGATGCAGATGGCTCCACCGCCTCAACAGTCGAGCTCAACTTCAAGTGAGGGTAATGCTGGCCTGTGGGATGATGCCTCCACTGTGTACTCTCCTGGCATGTCTTACACTGGCAAACTGCCTCTGAACCATCCTGCTTTCTCGGCTCCTGCTGTATTGCAATCCAAAGAAGCCATGTGGGGTAGTGCGTCTGCATCCAATGC